GGTGGAAATTTCCAAAAAAAAATAAATAAAAAAAAAAAATTTTAAAAGTAAAAAAATTTATAGGTAGGGGTTTTTTCTGTAAGCCCCTCTCCCCCCTCAAACCCCCCAGGACAAAAAAAAAATTTTTCCCCCCCCCCCCCCCCCCCCTCTAACATCTTCACAACTTTTGGCCTTATCCGTGTTCTCTCCATACCTCCATACAAATAAATCAAAAATAAACAGAAAGCCTTTAAGCGTTCAAAATTTGTACAAGTATGTTTTCGACTATTGATATCACAACCATCACTTCATTTCATCACACTGTAACTACACTATCCCTTCATAACCAAATTAGCACTTCCAGCACAATACCTCACTGCAACACATAAAATCACTTTTACCTCCTAAAATTATTATCTTTTGTTACTTCATATTAAATTCTACGAGAAACAAGTTTCAGTGATTAACAAACTACATCCATTATCTTGCCAATTCACGTCCAATATCAGACTCCACGCTTTCCACTTCACACATCTCAACCAAACCCTAAATTATACAACGCTACTGCTCTACTCACACATCCCTAATAGACTCCTAATACACATAAAAATCTTAAACTTCACACACGCTAGTACATCAAAGCCCAAACATACGCTCCCCAGCGCCCTATTGTTATTATAACAACGAATGATGAATGAATAATAACCGTTTATTTCTACACGGTTAAAAACATCAGTCTAAAATAGAAAATTAATTAAAAATTCTCAAAAACTGTTTTACATATTTGCCGTGTGGTAGTACTGATCAGAAAACCATCTATAGGAACAATACACCACTGTTGGCAAAGAAATTCTGCATTTCCTCTTAATAACTTTTTAAAGAACCCATTGACACTAAGACTCTTACATCCCTTTCGCACACCGAATCAAAATAGAACAATTGTTCCTAATCACGGGCTTTCCAAGATACTGTGCATGTTATTCCAGATTAAATCGTCAGCTCTAATTACTGATTGGGCAGCTCTGAAAGAAAAGATGCATAAATCTCATCAACAGAACAATATTATTCTAGATATTTTCACTCTTCTCTGTAAATCTCCACAATCCCGAAAGTAGAGAGTTAACCTTTATGCCAGTTAAAAAGTCGTATCGTCTGACTGATGAAATTAACACAGAAGTTGCACTCATCTCCCCACCCACCCCCCCCCC